GCCCCTCCCGGCCACTGCAGCCTCGACCTGCTGGGCTCCGGCGATCCTTCCACCTCTGCCTTCCAAGTAGCTGAAACTACATGCACGCACTACCACACCCAGCTCATTTTTGATTTATTGTAGAGATGAGGTCTCGCCAAGTTGCCCAGGTGGGTCTTGAAACAGCGGGCTCAGGCAATCCACTCACCTCAGCCTCCCAAAGGCAGGGGATTACAGGCTGAGCCACCAAGCCCGGCCAGACAAATTTTTTAGTTAAGAATATCAATTTAGGCTGGGCGTTGTGGCTCACATCTACAATCCCAGCACTTTGGGGGACCAAGGTGAGACCATCCTGGGCAACTTGGTGAGACCAGGTCTTTACAATAAATCAAAAAATTAGCCAGGCATGGTGATACACGCTTGCAGATCCAGCTATTTGGAAGGCTGAAGTGAAAGGATCACCTGAGCCCAGCAGGTGGATGCTGTGGTGGCCATGAGTGTGCCACTGTACTCCAGCCTGGGCAACAGAGACTCCAGCTCAATAATAAATAAACAAACAAACAAATAAATAAATAAATTTTATTTAATTTTTTAATTTTTTCATTTGTATTTATTTAATTTTTTTTTTTTAGTTGGAGTCTCACTCTGGTGCCCAGACTGGAATGCTGTGGCCGTTCCCGGCCACCGCAGCCTCGATCCGCTGGGCTCCAGTGATCCTTCCGCCTCAGCCTTCCAAGTAGCTGGAGCTACAGGCACGTGCTACCGCACCCAGCTAATTTTTGATTTATTGTAGAGATGAGGTCTTGCCAAGTTGCCCAGGTGGGTCTCGAACCCGCAGGCTCAGGCAATTCACTCACCTCAGCCTCCCAAAGGGGCGGGATTACAGGCTGAGCCACCTTTATTTATTTTTTATTTATTTATTTTTTAATTTTAATTTATCTATTTATTTATTTATTTTGAGTTGGAGTCTCACTCTGTTACTCAGACCAGAGTGCAATGGCCGCTCCCGACCACCGCAGCCTCGACCTGCTGGGTTCTGGTGATCCTTCCACCTCAGCCTTCCAAATAACTGGAACTACAGGTGTGCGCTACCACACCCGGCTAATTTTTTTGGATTTATTGTAGAGATGAGGTCTCCCCAAGTTGCCCAGGCGGGTCTTGAACCCATGGGCTCAGGCAATCCAGGTCACCTCGGCCTCCCAAAGCGCTGGGATTACAGGCTGAGCCACCGAGCCCGGCCTATTTTTTTATTTTTGAGTTGGAGTCTCATTCTGTCACTCAGACTGGAGTGCAGTGGTCGCTCCCGGCCACTGCAGCCTCGACCTGCTGGGCTCCGGCGATCCTTCCGCCTCAGCCTTCCAAGTAGCTGGAACTACAGGCGCGTGCTACCAATAAATGTTAAAACATGTAATCAAATTTCAAAATAAGCTTTTTACTAAGTGATGTATGTATGTATATGATCATACATGCATAGACTATCTCTGGGAGATTGCACGAGAAACTGCTTTAAGAGGATGCAAATGCCAAGGCAACTGGAGCCAAGCTGGAAGGGAGTCTTACTCTTCCTGTATGGTCTTTATACATACATGCATACATACACACTCCGGTATGGATTCATTGCCTTTTCAAAATATTGAAATTACTCAAAAACAGTAATACTACAGTTTCATACACTAGAGGGTACTATATGAACACATTTGAATAGATTCTCGCTTGCCAATTACTGTTACGCATACTAGAAATGATTTTAAGTACCATATTCAGTTTAGTTATAGTAAACTTGTGTTCATTTTATTTTCTTAGCCTACATGTATGGAGCTTCCAGAGGAACTGCGTCAATTCAAGACCTTCCAGAAGCAGCGCCGAGAGAGAGCTGCAAGAGACTACAAGGTGGATGCACAGGGACTCCTCATCAGGACAGTGGTACATCCAAAGAAGTTAGTGACAGACACAGCAGAGAAAGAGGAAAAAGTCGGAGCTTTCTTATTTTGTAAAAATTCTAGGATAGATAAAGCTCCAAGTTTTACATCTCATGAGTTTCATGAGGATGTGAAGTTTCTGAAAGAAAAATCTAAGAATAAGCAAACTGCAGAACCTCAGCATCTACCTCCCATAACGAAAGAGGAAGCCAGGGAGGATTCCAGTAACAAACTCATTTGTACTGTGTCAAAGTGTTCAGAAGACCAGGGAACAACTCAAAAAGAACACGTTAGGATACCCAGACATGAGTTACAGCCACGTTTATCTTTGAAAGAGGAGATTCAACAGTTAGTGGAAAATGAGAAAGATTTAAAATGTGTAAAGCAAGATGTTACAGTGTCTCCTCTTCCTCAGGAAACCAGAGTATCTCCAAGTGACACCTTTCATCTTTTAGGGAAAACTATGTTTTCCACACTCTCTCCCTGTCCAGCCTTGGAGAATATGATTCCTGGATAAATCCTTTCGAAATCTACCTTAGAGATTTGCAAAATCTCTACCAAATCTACCAAAGCCATAAAGGTGGTTCATTTCCTCTGCTGTCAGGACTTTCCACTGTGCTTAAGTTTCTTGTGTAGGTTTAATATTGCTTTAGTCACAGGCTATGGAGAAAACTGTATCCTCTTGCTTACTCCTACATTCCTGGTATTTGGATTAGGATGGGATTGGATAAGTTAAATAATGGAACAAAATCCCTAATTATGTCACTGTGCAGAAATGTTCCCAGTGGCCAGAGTGAATTATTTCTCATAATTTGGGTTTAGAGAATTTGAAGAAAAGAAAAATCTTGGACTTAGTATCAGGGAGAATGTATAATTTAAAATTTTGTGTTTTTTCTTTTTTGACTTTTTGATTGCTTTGAAGGGAGTTGATAAAACTATTAGTCATACGTTTAAGAAAATTGGCACAAAACAGCTTTACTAGTACTTTTTTCCTTTTAAAAATATTAGCTTTATAGCTGAATTTTGGAATATTTTGTCTGTCTCATGTCATAGGCAAACAATAATTAATAACTATTATAGGAATCAATATCTTAGCCTTAATTTGTTTTTATTTCATTTACTTTTAGAAGGTTTTGTCTATTTTCCTAACAAACAGGGACCCTGGGTTTCATTTTAGATGTCTGTTCTGTAAACTTGTAAATTTGGCCCATTCTAGTTGATGTGCTTTCTTGGAGTGAAAGAAAGGCATCTTGTACTGAGCCTTGCAGGTTGTTCACGTTCTTTTGTGTAAAATGACCAATAAACCTGATTTGGCATTGGGTTATCTCTTACTTTTGTTTTTTTTGTTTTTTTTAGTTGGACTCTCACTCTGTCACCCAGACTGGAGTGCAGTGGCCGCTCCCAGCCACCGCAGCCTTTACCTGCTGGACTCCAGCGATCCTTCCGCCTCAGCCTTCCAAGTAGCTGGAACTACAGGTGCGTGCTACCACGCCCAGCTAATTTTTTATTTATTGTAGAGATGAGGTCTCACCAAGTTGCCCAGGCGGATCTCGAACCCGCGGGCACAGACAATCCATTCACCTCGGCCTCCCAAAGCCCTGGGATTACAGGCGGAGCCACGGAGCCCAGCCATCTCTTACTTTTCTTAATTGGGTTAGGGTGGGAAGAAATGTCTACATTTCTAGGTCTAGAGCTTAGTTTATAAATCTGTAATTTGATTGTTACAGAACTCTCTCTGTTACTTCTTACACTTAGGGACAGTCTAAGATCAGAAATATCCTTGTATGCACCTACCGATTCTATTGAGAGCCATGAAAAGAGTTGCTATGCCCTTCCAAACTCCAGAGCCCAAGTCTTGCCTGAGTTTAAGGTAAAGGCAGGCGCCTAAGAGCAGTTGGCTCAGCCCCGAGGTTGCTTTGTCTTACCTAATCCTTAGTTTAGAAAGTTACTTGGGGTCAGTCTGGTTTCTGGTTCATCTTGGATGAATGTATCTTTAGACTGAGCCCAGAATGTGGTCTGGAAAGGGCATGAATTCCTGTTAAGTTCCTGGAATTGATTTAACTTCTTATGGAACCATTCAGTTACTACTTACAACATATATACACAAATCCTACGAAGAAACTGGGCACAGTTGCTCACACCTATAATCCCAGCACTTTGAGAGTCAGAGGCAGGAGGAGCCCAGGAGTTTGAGACCAGCCTGAGCAACATGGCGAGACCTCTTTTCTACAATAAATCAAAAAATTAGCTGAGCGTGTGGTAGCACACCCTTGTCATCCCAGGTACTTGGAAGACTGAGGCAGATCACCAGAGCCCAGCAGGTCAAAGCTGTAGCATGTCAAAGCTGCAGTAGATGTGATCATGTCACTGCACCCTAGCCTGGGTGAGAGAGTGAGACTCTGACCCAAAAAAATAAAACAGACTGGGTGCAGTGGCTCACACCTATAATCTTAGCACTTTGGGAGGCTGAGGCAAAAGGATTGCCTGAGCCCAGGGATTCAAAACTAGCTGGGCAACTTGGCAAGACTTCATCTCTACAATAAATCAAAAAATTAGCTGGGTGTGGTGGTACTCACCTGTAGTTCCAGCTACTTAGAAGGCTAAGGTGAAAGGATCGCCTGAGCCCAGCAGGTCGAGGCTTCAGTGGTCAGTGAGTATGTCACTGCACTCCAGCCTGGGTGACAGAGTGAGACTCTGACTCAATAAAACAAAAAACATAAATAAGCTACACAGTATAATAAAGTAGTCTTCGTGGTAAAAGATTTTTTTCTTTATTTTTTATATTTTGAGTTGGAGTCTCACTCTGGCACCCAGACTGGAGTGCAGTGGCCGCTCCTGGTGACCGCAGCCTCGACCTGCTGGGCTCCGGCGATCCTTCTGCCTCAGCCTTTCAAGTAGCTGGAACTACAGGTGAACGCTACCACACCCGGCTAGTTTTTTTGATTTATTGTAGAGATGAGGTCTCACCAATTTGCCCAGGAGGTCTCAAACCCACGGGCTCAGGCAATCCACTCACCTCAGCCTCCCAAGGCGTGGGATTACAGGCTGAGCCACTGAGCCCAGCCTTTTATTCTTTATTATGTAGGTTTTGACTATGCTTTAAAAAGACACAGGACTGTTGGCCTTTGCTGCACTACCTAATGTGGTAGCCACTAGCCATATGTAGCTATTTAAATTTAAAATTAGCCAGGCTCGGTGGCTCAGCCTGTAATCCCACGCCTTGGGAGACTGAGGCGAGTGGATTGCCTGAGCCCACGCATTCGAGACCTGCCCGGGCAACTTGGCGAGACCTCATCTCTACAATAAATCAAAAAAATTAGCCGGGCATGGTAGCGCACGCCTGTAGCTCCAGCTATTTGGAAGGCTGAGGCGGAAGGATCGCTGCAGCCCAGCAGGTCGAGGCTGCGGTGGCCAGGAGCGGCCACTGCACTCTAGTCTGGGTGACAAAGTGAGATTCCAACTAAAAAAAAAAAAAAAAATTAACAAGGGCCAGACTTGGTAGCTCAGCCTGTAATCCAGGCACTTTGGGAGACCAAGGCAAGTGAATTGCCTGAGCTTGTGGATTCAAGACCACCTTGGGCAACTTGGCAAGACCTCGTCTCTACAATGAATCAAAAAATAAACCAGGCATGGTAGTGTGCACCTATAATTCCAGCTACTTGGAAGATTGAGGCAGAACGATCACTGGTGCCCAGCAGGTTGACGTTGGGGTGGCTGTGAGTGTGCGACTGCACTCCAGCCTGGGCAACAGAGTGAGACTCCAACTCAAAAATAATAATAACAAAATTAAATTAAATTAACAAGAAAAAAATATTTAAATTAAGATGAAATAAAGTTTTTTTTGGGGGTTGGAATTTCACTCTGTTGCCCAGACTGGAGTGCAGTGGCCACTCCCGGCCACCACAGCCTCAACCTGCTGGGCTCCGGTGATCCTTCCGCCTCAGCCTTCCGAGTGGCTGGAACTACAGGCGTGCGCTACCACGCCCGGCTAATTTTTTTATTTATTGTAGAGATGAGGTCTCATCAAGTTTCCCAGGCGGGTCTCGAACCCGTGGGTTCAGGCAATCCACTCACCTCGGCCTCCCAAAGTGCTGGGATTACAGGCTGAGCCACCAAGCCCGGCCTGCCATGTTTCTAGTACTCAGTAGTCCCATGTGGCTTGTGGATACTATATTGAACATCACAGATTTAGAACATTGGCATCATTTTAGAAAGTTCTATTGAACAGTGTGTTTGAGAAATACTTTGATTCTCCAAACTTAATGAGCCTTTTGGGTCTCATCACAGTGGTTTCTCAGTGAAACACTTAACATACCTGAAACTGCATTTTTCTCTACATCCTCCTACTAGCCTGGAGTGCCTACCTAAATTCTGTGTGTGTGATTAGAGCCTGCCCACCAACTTCTGTTCTTTGCCTGATGAAGTATTTTTAAAAAACCTGGGCAATTCAAGCCCTATTGCTAGTGCTCTGTGCCATTACTCAGATTTCTTGTCTAACTCTTGCCCGGAATTTTGGGAGATACTAAGTTTTTGTCTCAACTCTTTGTTAAGTTCTTATTCTGTATTTTCCTAGTTTGAGAGATCATAAACCATGCTGCCCGGTTTCCCAAACTCTTGAGGTCTTGCTCTAATCTATTACAAATCTTCTGCATCTCCCCTACTCAGCTGATCTTGGCTTCTTTCAACTACAGTATGAAAATTCACTGCAGCCACTTTGCCTCTTGTCTGTCTATGGACTTGTTAAAATATTACACAATAGATTTTTTTTTTCTTCCCGACCCCTTCCCTTGTTCTCCCTCCCCTGCCACACCTCTGCCTTCTCCTCCTCCTTTTTTTTTTTTTTTTTTTTTTTTTGTGTTGGAGACTCACTCTGTTGCCCAGGCTGGAGTGAAGTAACATGCTCACAGCCACCACAGCCTCGACCTGCTGGGCTCTGGTGATGCTTCCACCTTAGCTTTCCAAGTAGCAGGAACTACAGGCACGCACCAACACACTGGCTAATTTTTTGATTTATTGTAGAGATTGGCTGGGTATGATGGCGTGTGCTTATAGTTCCAGCTACTTGAAAGGCTGAGGCAGAAGGATCACCGGAGCCCAACAGGTCAAGGCTGCAGTAGCTATGAGCTTGCTGCTGCACTCCAACCTAGGAGACAAAGTGAGACTCCAACTCAAAAAAAAAAAAAAAGACTGACGCAAAAAACCAAACAAGAACAACGACAACAAAAAACTACAGTATTGTTATTGTGTTAAATGTCGTCAGTGAGCAGGAGAAGATATGCATCATTATTACAGTTAGATAAAATTTAAAGAAATGTTTAAGGGAAACTAATACTTGCACATGGTTTTGAAATAAATGGTACAGAAAAGCTAATAATGAAAATAAATCCTCCTGCTCCCATCCTTTCCTAACCGCAGTCCTGCTCCTCAGAGCCATCCACTTTTGATGATTTGTTTATTTACTTATTTATTTAGTCCATGTAGGAAGGTCTTTCTCTGTCACCAAGGCTGCAGTGCCATGACATGATCACAGCTCACTGAAACCTCAACCTTCTGAGCTTAGAGAATCCTTCCACCTTAGTCTCCTGAGTAACTGGGACCACAGATGTATGCCACCACACCCAGCTAATTTTTTATAG